CAAGCCTTGACCGCAGCCCTGTTCGGGCAGCATAGCAAAAAAAAATAAAAAACGTTTAGGCAAAAAAAAAAAATGCAAAGAAAAAAGCGGATCAAAATCGAAGGCACGCAGGCAGACAGAAGAGAGAGAGGGGGGCATGGACATCAAGTTATGGACATCGAGTTAGGCATCGCAAAAAAAAAAAAAAAAAAACGAAGGCAGGCAGGCAGGCAGGCAGGCAGGCAGAAGAGACATGGACATCGAGTTAGGCAGAACAAGTGCAAAATAGGAGGCGGGGCAGATAGAGGGGGCAACGAAGCCATAGATTGTTCCTTGCAAGGAGCCAGCCGAGACAAGACCCATGATTGCGGGTTCTCAAAAAGACCGCAATCAAACATGAATGCAGCTGATGCGGCTGGGCACCCTCCGCCGAAACAGAAGACCACCAGCCGCCCCGCTCACGAATCCCGTGAAAAGTTCCGGGGGCGGGGAGTGAATGGGCGTCGGGACAGCTTTCGCCTGCCGCTTCAAGCGGGCGACAACAAGAGTGACGCTTCTATTGCACGAAAGAAATGCGTTGAAACGACGCAGATAGCTACGCACAGCAGGCATCAAATCAGCAAACCAACGTTGGACGTGCTTTCTTTCCAATACGGCTGTGCAAGCCTCGGTACAGGAAACCCCTCGCCGCGCAACACCCCAAGACCACGGCCCCACACGCCAACAACACCACAAGAACTCGCACCTGTACAAAAACGGGCTCGCCCAGTCCGCGGCGCCATCGCGGCCTGTCTCGTGCTCAACAAGAGCTCTCGCGGCCTCCTCGGCAAACAACACGCCGCGGCCCGAACCCTCCTCCCCTTCCCGGGCGCCGCCGCCGCCGCAGGCGCGGAACGCCGAAACCGCCGCGGCGTAGGCATCCTCCCCGGGATCGACCCCGACCCACCGCATGCGCTCCAGGACCCCAACCACGGTCTGGACGCCGGCGCCGCCCTCCCCGCACGCGCGCACGGCGGCGGTGTACGCGGCGGCGGTGGCGGCGGCGGCGGCCTCCGGCGCCGACCCCTCCTTCTGGGAGGTAGCGGTAGCGGGGGCGGCCAGGGCGCCGTTCTCGTCCAACTCCACACGGAGCACCGTTTCAGGGGCTTCTTGTTCTTCGCCGTTGTTGTCGTCGCCAGCGCTGGCTAGTGCTACTCCTGCGGGTGGTGGTGGGCTGAGAGCTGCGGCCGTAGAAGTGGCAGTAGCGCCCGTCGCACCGTCGTCTTGCTCCGCGTCCAGCTGTTCCAGCTCTTCGAGCAGAACCAGGCACCACTCCCACTCCCCGACGTCAGCCAGGGCGTTCGCCGCGGCGGCGTAGATCGCCTACACACCCGGACACGGGTTATTGATGGATGGCAGGCATTATATTTATTGCACGGTGGCGATAGAAGAAAAACAAAACAGAACCGGGGGACGGAGGGGAAGGCGGTGGGCGATTCACAACTCAGGACCTTGAGTCCAGCGACACCTGCGTAACACGCGCAGGCTAAGAGGTTGGATGAAGCGCACATCCGCATTCCCTCTAGTCTTGGCTCTTAATCGACGTCAGTCCGTTTTGGCTTGAAGCAAAAGTTCCCGGGGCTGCGATCATGGTGCGTTGTCCGCTTGCAATAAGGCTCGCACCCTGTAGACTCTAGTCTGGCTAACCCCAGCCGTCTCAACCACGAACGTGAGCGCGCGCCACCACTCGCGAGACAGCAAAGCGACGCGGATTGATCGTCCCTCGTGGTCCTGTACAACACAACCAGAGACAAACCGACTAGGGAAGGCTGCAGCTGACAACACAAGAACGGCATCGCCTCCCCGAGTAAACGACAGTCTCTCAACAACGCATGCGTGCAAAAGGTACGAGACGCATGACCCCCCTCCCCGCCCTCCTGCCGCCGCGCTAGGTCCCTCTCACCGGCGACAACGACGGAAGCATCTCCGCTGCAGCGGCCGTCTGCGTGGCTTCCGCCGACCTTGACGCCGCCTCCTCCTCCGCCTCCTCCTTGTCGCCGGTCGCG